TCTCGTCGCTAGCGGGCGGCCGCGGGTAGCGCTCCTCCTGGGAGCGTGCGAGGCTCGGACCGGGCGGAGGATGCGGCTCAGTGCGAAGGCCCCAGGGTTCAGTCCACAGTCCTGGGACAGCACCTCGAAGGGCAGTGCGGGAGGGCACTGTGCTGCTGCGGGACCCAGAGCCAGCCGGGACGCTGGATGCGTATTGGGTGCTGGTGCGCCCTGCTGTTACTCCGTAGTTAGGGACCAGGGACGCAGGCCGAGGAGAACACGAAAGAAGAGGGTGGAGCGTGAGGCCTAAGATGCAGTTGTTAAAGATGATGCGCAAATGCTGTGAAGACCTGCAGGGAAGGAAGGAAGACCCCAGGAGAAAATCCTGGCTGGGCCGGAGAGCAGCAGAAGAGAGGGCCTTTGCCAGTGGGGCGGGGACCCTTTGGGCAGCGGCAAGAACTTCACTTGGGAAGCCAAGTAACAGGTTTAAGCTAACAGACTGAGAGATCAAAGTTTTTTAGAAGGATCGCTCCACAGGTGAGTTGCAAATAACTTCAGTTGGATAAGGGTCAAAGTGGGGAGGAGAATTAGGACATTTTAAGAACCAGACGAGAGTGGAATGGTAGGGAGAAATTCATTGAATTTGGGTAGTTTTGATGGTAAAACTGGTAATAAGAGTTACTAACATCAGATGTGAGTGCAAGAGAAAAAAAGAAAGCCACAGTAACCCCAAAGGTGTAGGGTGAATTCACGGCAGTACCCTCTTATAACCCAGACAGACTGTCTACAGTAGTCCTTGCAAACTGACACATAACAACGAGGACTTGCTACTCTCCTGGATGGGTATTGGGTTTTGTTTAGAAAACTAGAGGAAATTAAGAAAAACGATGGGAAATTCAGTATTAAACCCGGAAATTCAAGTCAGGATGAGATACCACCCCACACTCACTGTATGAGCTAAAGAGAGATTCCTTTTAAACTGGAAACACCAGAATATATGGAGCACCTGCAGGACTAATAAGTTGCTGTTAAGAATGCAAAATGGTACAGGTAGCCAGGACAGTGTGTTTGACAGATAGGTCAAAGGGACAACAGAAAGCCCAAAGGTAGCCTCATTCATGCATAGTTACATGTAAATTTGAGGGTGTCCCACGAAGACCTGGGTACTGGCTTGATTCCTCTTGCAGCAGTTTCAGAAGTGACTGGATCCCATGGCTTTTAACTTCATCAGTGTCCATTTCCATCAGCTCCACTGGTCTGCTGATCATGGACAGTGATGGAAGCAGTAGGTGGGGCCCAGTTGAAGGGAGTGAGTCATGGGCAGGACTTTGGGGACTGTATGTGGTCCTGACCCTTCCTTTCTGGCTCTTTCCCTCTCTGGCTTTCCATTCTCACTATTTGCTGCCTCCATGAGGTGTGCAGCTCCTCCACCGCACTGTTCTACCGTGATGTTTCTGCCTCCACACACTTGTAAGCAATTGGGCCAGCTGACCATAGACGGAAACCTCTGGAACTGGGGAGCCAAGATAAAGCTTTCCTCCATTAAGTTGTGTATCACAAGTGTTTTGTCACAGTGACAAAAAGCTAACACAGTGGTCAATTGATTTTTAACCAAGAAGCAAGTAAACCGCTATATTCTTTGAAAGCATATTCATGAATTGAAAAAATGATAAATTTTTTGACCATCAAAGTCAAGAACTTCTGCTCAGTGAAAAATTCTGCTAAGAAAATAAAGAGACAAGTTACAGACTGAAAGAAAACATTGACAAACCAAACATCTGATAAGGACTGATCTCCAGAATACAGTTACCTCTCAGTGTTTATTGAGAATTGCTTCCAGAACCTCACCAAATAAACCAAAACCCATGAATACCTAAGTCCCTTATATACAATATTGTGCTGTTTGCAACCAACCAAGTCATATCTTCCTCTATACTTTAAATCATCTCTGAGTTACTTGTAATACCTAATTCACATGTAAGTAGTTACACGGTGCTGTTTAGGGAATAATGACTAATGTGCATATTCAGAACAGACACTTTTTTCCAAAGTATATTTGATCTGCTGTTGATTGATCCAAGGATGAGGAACTTGCCCATACCTATAGCCAACTATATAAAGAATTTTAAAAACTCAGTATAAGAAAACACCTCATCTAAAAAGAGGACAACAGACTTCACCAGATTTGCTTGGACACTCACTAAGTCCAAAGAAAAATACCAGTGTCATTGGTCACTAGGAAAATGTGAATTAAAATTATGAATTTGCCTTTTCTGGACATTCCATATAAATGACATAAGATACGTGGCCGATGTCTGGCTGCTTTCACTGAGTGTAATGTATTCAAGGCACATCCTTGTCTGTCCTGTGTTCCTTTTTGTTGCTTAATAATATTCCACTGTGATGGATAACAGCATTTTGTTTACTCATCAATTGTTAGATATTTGCAGTTTCCCTTTATCTAGCTATTCTGAATAATGCTTCTATAAACATGAACAAGACATCTGTGGACTCTGTATTTGAGTAGAATTGCTGAATCATATGATAGTTTCATGCTTAGCATTTTGAGAAGCTGTTTTATTTAAAAAAAAAAAAAGTTTATTTTTAATAGCCCAAACCAAGGAACATGCCAGATGTTCATCAACTGATGAATGGATGAGCAAACAAGTTATTCTGTATCTATGTTCTGCATCTGTATGTTTTATATCTATTACTAGTTTAGCCTTTAATTACAATACCTTTACTAATATACTAATGTCTATTACTCTACAATCAAAAGATGAACTACAGCAGGGATGAGTCTCAAAGTAACTTTTCTGTGCAAATGAACCCAGACATAACAGCATTATTCCAGTCGTATAAAATTCTTCGGAATTCAAACTGACCTACATTTGCAGTAGTGTAGAGTATTGTATGCTTTTTAAATGTGCAGTTTATTGATCTCACAGTTATACCTTGATACTTTAAAATGCCAAAAAAAATGTATATAGAAAGGGAGGACACAAAACATCTGGCTGGGCTAAAAGAGATTTTCTCTTGCATGCTGTAGCCTTAATGCTGTACCAGCAGAACCAGAAGGTCATGCACCTGCCCCATCCTGGCACCCAGAGGGCAGCAGGCACAACTCTGGTTATTGGAGGAATGCTCCTGAGCTCTCTACCAAAATCACTTGCTCTAGGAATGCACACTAACAATGGGTGTCTTTCCTGACTGTGTAAGTTTTATTTTTATTAAACGAAATGTTCTGTGGTCCTTTTTTTTCCACTTAAACCTCCTTTTCAGACAAGTGGTGCAAGAAATACTGTGTTCTACTATGTTTGATGTGTAAGATTCCAAATGTTTCAGATAAAGAAGTTTGGATCCAGTTGAAATTGGAGCTAATTCTAGCTTGGTCGTATGCCTGAGATAAAATAGAGGTCACTTGTATGTTAAAGGTAATAAAATAAGTTGTCATTTATATCACCATAATAACAACCTGTTATTATTGTATCATATTCTTCCTTAGAGTTTCTTAAAGACATTCCTAGGAACTTCCCTGAAAAGAAGACTGTAAAGTTGAACAAAGACCCAGTTTTCTGCCAGTCTATTCTTTTAGCTAATTTTTTCCTGAAAAATACAACCAAATATTTAGTCTTTTATTTAGTTTGCTTTCTCTTTTGTTATTTTCCTGTTTTCTGATTAAAATTTGAAAAAGTTATCTTTTAAATTTTACTTGTGGGACTGGGGATTTAGCTCAGTGGTGCTGCCACCTGCTTTACAAGCAAAAGGTCCTGAGTTTGATCCCCAGTACCAAAAAAAGGATTTATTTGCAAAGATCTTCATTACCTTTCTGTTACAGGGACAAGATGCCTGACACAGCTTAAAGGAGGGGAGCTTTGTTTTAGTTTAGAAATTTCAGTCCATGGTGGGTTTGCTCCAAGGCAGAAACATCATTAAAAGGCCAGGCGGAGGAAAACTGCTCACCTCACGGCAGCCAGGAAGGGAAAGCAGGAAGAGAGCCAGAGAGAGAAAGGGAAGGGGCTGGTGACAAGAATACATTTTTTCAGGTTACACCCCCAGTGACCTACTTCAAGCAGGCCCCACCTCCTAATAATGCATCTTGCCATAAACTTGTCAGTGAATTAATTGTTGAGGTTAGCACTCCATAATCTGATTACTTTCCAAAAGTCCCACTGCTGGACATTTTTTGGTCCAAACCATCACAAGGCCATATTAATATATTCACTTGAAATTGTATTATGAACCAAAACTACATTTCTTTTGTTTTTTTCTTTTTTGTTGTACAAAGAAGGCAAAGGTTTTATTTTGCAAAGAAGCCAGGTACATGGCTAAGAAAATTGAAAATGTGTGTTCATACATATGTTCATGAGACCTGAAGGTACAGTGTGGTGGTAGGGCACACGCCTAGAACCTGGAAGACCCTGGGTGAGATCCTAGTGCTGCGAAACAAAATGAAACAAAAACAAAGAACTCAGCAGCAAAAATGCAAATTGGAACAGTCCATATATAAAGCTTGTTTCTGTGTCTGTACCAGGCATCTCAAAATTGGAGTAGTCTGATAAGTAAAATATAGTTTTATGTTAAAATAGTATATGTGGTTGGTTACCTGAGCACTAATGCTGTGAAGAGGCTAACTCATTCCAAATGGGCATTGTGGTTTTAGTGAGGAATGAACTGTGTCCTCAGGAAAGGTGGGGTTGTGTTCTCCCCAAGGTCCTATCACTTGTGGTCCAAGTCCCCATACAAAGGTGCAATAAGTGTGGATCATGGAACAAATGATACCCCAGAAATTAATAACCTGGGTTGTTTTATAACAAACCTCTGATAATTCTTTTAAATTTTAATTTGAATGAAAACAAATGTTTACGGCATGCTAGAAAGACATGGGAAATCATTTTTTGAAAGTGTGACAAAGACTTGCAGCCTGATATCCATCTTCTTACCCCTTTTTAGCAAGCTAGAGGGCTGCGGTGGGTGTGGTGATGCAGTTTACAAATGCGGCAATCTTCTATGAAACTAAATATACCAGCCTTATTACAGCCATGCATAGCCAGTGAGGTGACTGTGCAGATTTTGAGAGAAGCTTCTGGGAAAGGCCTTTAAAAGAAACCAACAGCTTGGAAGCAGACTGTTCCATCCTTGCCTTTTCTTCTTTTTGCCGCCAAAAACCTGGAGCTTGATAGTAGGAGATGCAGAAGCCAAACACAGACCAAGACATGGCTTTCACAAGAGAGCCACGGTGGGGGACAGGAAAGATCCTCAGCTGTATCAGGAGGATGCGGCACCATCTTGTTTCATGTTCTAAGACCTTGATTGTCACTTACATAGGTCCACTGAATCTTGACCTACAGAAAAGTTTGAAGTCTAAAGTCACAATTTTGTAAATAAAAGTTTTATGTAAGTGCCCAATAACTTTTTGTAGTGCATAGTTTATGGTGGGAATCTTGGACTCTAACGTGGCTGTTGTGTATCTTTGAATTTAAAGTTATCATTTTATAGAACCTCAGACTTTATAGCTAATAAGTTTGATACTACTGATGCAACATATGATCATAGTAACTTCATGAGTGAAATATAATATTTAAACCAGTTGGTTGGTGCCTTGCTGGACTACATTGCATGGGATCTGTAGATCTAACAGTAGAACTAATATAGTACCTCAAGTCTGAAATGCGTTGACCAAAAGGAAGCATTAATCTTCCCATTAGTCTTTGTAGTAAGAGAAAAGTTCACAAGTTTAACCTCTTCACTTCACGTGACATAGCCAGGTATTGAAACATTCATAAATCTGCTGAATCCTGACAAGACATATTCATCATTTATGTTTTTAAAATGACTCCAGTCCAGAAAGCCATGTGTGCACATGAGGGAAAAGGCCAGCACGCTAGTCAAGAGCTTCTCAACTGCCGACCAGGCAAATGCAAGAGTAGTTTTATGAGCTAATAATTTTTATGTTTGGGGGGAAGTTTTTTTTTTATTTTGAGCTCCTACATGAGCCACATGAACTACATCCCTGTTGTACTAGTCAGGATTCTCTAGAGGAACAGAGTTGACCAGGAGTATATATAATTATGACAGGGGATGTGCTAGGTCAGCTCACGTGCTCAGGGGCTAGATAGTCCCCTAGTGGCCAACTGCAGACGGAGAGCTGGGGAGCCACCATGGCTCATCCACAATGTTGAAAGTCTTCACACAAGGAGAACCAAGGCTGCGCCCAGTTGGAGGTGGAAGGAAGGCTGGGAGCTTCCTGGAGAGCGCTAGGTGTGAGTTCACGAGCAAATGCTGAGGAGGCGGGAGTGCAGCCCACACTAGGGCCTGACTTCGCTGTTCACACACCAGTCACCTCTGGAGACACCTCACGGGCTCACCCACAAGTGACTCACAAGTCATCCACCAGCCTGACACCCAGGATCAACCATCCCACCTGAAAAGTACTATGTTTTATTTTATTAAAAGTGAAGCAACAGACCAGTCCTGCTAGCAGGAGGCAGTACCAGTCAGCAAGTGTCCTGTGCAGGCCTATCTCATGTCAAAGCCACTGACCTTGTTTCTTCTATCTTGTTGTCAGTGTTTTCATTTTAAAAATAGAATGTAAGAATTCTTTACTTGCTGTAGAATGTGTACCTTTATAATCAATTTCTGTACTGACATTTGACTCAGGTTCAGAAGAATGCACCAGTCTTAGCTGTATATGCAGCCGTCGTTCAGGTGGATGAGAAATACCTGCAAGCCACCAGGGACATGCAGATGGGAATCTCAGTGAGGAGCCACTTCAGACCCACAAGGAGGCGGTAATAAAAAGACTCAACACCAAGTGTTGATACTTGAAACGCATCGCACATGAACGGTAGGATTAGAAAATGGGGCAGCCACTTTGGCAAACAGGCTGGCAGCTTCCAAAGGGCAAAATATACAGATGTGTGACCCAGAAATTCTGCCCTGGGTACACAGCTAAGAGAACTGAAAATGTGCATTCATACACATGTCCGTGAGGGCTGGAGGTACAGCGTGGTGGTAGGGCACATGCCTAGAACCTGGGGGACCCCAGTGCTGTGAAACAAAATGAAACAAAAACGAAGAGCTCCGCAGCAAAAATGCTTATCTGGATATTCATAGCAGCATTATTCATAAAAGTCAAACATTTATAATAACCAAGTGTCAATCAACTGAACAGATCTGTAAGATGTGGCATCTTTATACATATGTATACATACTTATACGATGACACCCAGCAGTTAGGTGTGAAAGAGTGACATGTGCCACCACACAAGTGAACCTTATCATGCTGAGTGACAGGAGCCACGGCCACACATCGCAGGGGTTCAGTTGGCAGGGGCTGCACTGCAGTGCAGGAAGGGGAAAGACAGCCGAAGACAGTGCTGGGTCTCCCTTTATTGGGGATGAGAACAGTCACAGGTTTTCTGTGGAAATAGCTGAATAACTGAATATCCTAAAAAACACTGAAGCATGCGCTTTAAATGCACGAGCTGCATGGTTCCTGAACTACAGCAATATAACTGCTTTAAAGTAAGACAAGGCGCACAGCTCAAGCAGGTGGGGGGCAGAAGTCTTCACACTGACTGAGGCTGAGCACACGCTGTCTTCTGGTCTGTCAGCTAACTGTGCCGCGTAGGCCTTGGCCTCAGACCCTGGGGCGGAGTGGCCAGGGCTGCCTCAGAGGTGGAGACGCATGGCGGAGCCGGGACTGGAGCTCCCTGTGAGCTCACCTGGGAAGGAAGGGCAGGCCCAGGAGCTCTCTGCCCTGCCAGCCGGAAAGGAGGCTCCGCTGCCCACACAAGGCCACTCTTCCCTCTTGGGAGTGGATCAGCTGCATTACCCATCCCACAGAGACCAGTTTGATAGTCACTCCACTTCCCTGTGGCAGAGGAAGTACCAAAAGGCACACGGCAGAGCTCGCTCTGCTCCTGAAGGGGCTGTGGGAGCAGAGAGAACATCCTGAGGAGGGGAGAGAACCGTTCCGCAGGGAGTCGCCTTGCCCTTCAGGCGCTCGGCACCCCTGGCCTGCACCATCGCAGCTGCCCCTCACTGTCTCTCTCCCCACATTCATTCTCTTGCTTTTTCCCATTCTGCAATACTGCTCAGGGGCTCTTAAACTTTTATAGAGTTTACAGTATGTTTTGTTTATCCTGTATAGAAATTAAATCACCTAAAATTAACTGCACTGGCAGGCCCTGCTGGCTCCATGGCTGTGCTAGTCAGGTTTCGGATACTGTAACAAACACCTCAGGCAATCAGCTCACAGAGAGAAAAGGTCACTCTGCCTCTCCTGGGTGCAAGTTTCCCTCTGTGCCTGGTGGGCCCGGTTGCTTTTGGACCTGGGGAAAGTGGATCATGGTGGTGGCGCTCACAGCGGAGGAAGCTGCTCCCCTCATGGCTGCCAGGAGCAAAAGACAGAAGTGGCCAGGGTCCCCCCAGGGCACCACCCATCTGGCCAGCAGACTTCCTGCCAGTCCTCAGTCCTGAGAGGGCAGAGGACCAGGCCTCCAGTGCATGGGTCTTGAGGATGTTACAGCACCGCCACACTTCTAGAACCTCGTCTGTTCAGGGTGGCGCACACCTGGCCAAACAATTGTATTTCCCAGCCTTTTTTGCAGATAGGAGTGAGATGTGACATCTTTGGCTGATTAAAGGACAAGAAAATTATTCTGTGGGGCTTTTTGGAAAATGTTTCAAATGGAAGCAGATTTAACTTGCAGGAGTTTTTGTCATTTTGCCTCTCCCTTCTTCCTACCTTGGATGTGGATGTGAAGCTGGAGAATTGGGGCAGCCATTTTGGAGCCTGGAGGTAACACAGTGAGGATGAATTCTGTCAGCTGAAGGGAGAGTGAAAAGCTGAAAGGAGCCGGGTTCTGATTCATGAGGGAAGCATATTTCCAATCTTAGAGTACTTAGCTCTGGATTTCTAATTTTGTGAGGAAAATAGATCCTTTATTTTTTGACGCCATTTTGTCCATTGAATGTTGATACTTTCAGCCAACCTTGCAGTGAGATTTGGTGCCAGAAATAGAGTGCTTCAGTAACAGGACCTAAAATATGACATGGCTGAGGGAAAAAAATCAGGCGTTGACAATGAGGACACAGATTTCACAGGCAAGAAAGTGCTCGGCTCTTGTTACATGATGTGAAAACATTCTCTGTGGAAAACTGTCTCCTCTTGTTTCTTGGGATATAAACCATGGTGTTTTATGTAGTTGTTATGGAAGCAGTGGGTGTGATTTATGCTGACAGGTGCTGGTTACTTCTTGCCACTTTCAGCAAAGTCACAAAGGACAGAGGTGAATTCAGACTGGAGCTGACTTCCCAGTTACACTGGGAGCTGAACAAACACCTTCTCTATGAATTACCCCACCTCCCCTATTCTGTTAGAGCAACAGTAGAGGGACAACAATAGCCCATCTATTTTGAAAAACAGTGCATAGCCTAAGCCAGGTGTGGTGGCACATGTGTGCCTATAATGCCAGAATTCTGGGAGGCTGAGGCAGGAAGATTGTAAATTTGAACCCATCTAGGGCAGTTTATTGACTTAGCAAGATCTTATCTCAAGAATTTTTTGGAAAAAAAAGGTGGGTGGGTTGAGAATTCAGCTCAGCACTGAAAGCACTGGGGTTGATCCCCAGTACGAAAACAAACAGTACATGCTAGGCCCCTCGCATCTATGTGTAGATTCTTGTGCGACACTACTACCTAGAAAACAGGCTTTCAGAACTTCAAGCGGCTGCTCCAGCTCCTGCACACAGAGAGCCCTGCGCCCTGCTGTCCTTCCACCTCACCCAGCACCCTCAGACTCAGGGTCATCAGGGATCGTCTATTCAACAAGGAAGACCTGGGAGTCTGAGGTGCCTTCTTGGATCATACTTGGGGAAATCCTCAGTCCTGCTGTTAGGGTTTCCATCTGGATTCCCCCAAACCCTTGTGATCATAGGCAGGACTAGCAAGGCGACCGGATCTGGGGGCCCAGGGCCCACTTGTTGTAGGAGGCAGGCCCTGGGCGCAGAGGGGAGGCCTGGGCATGGCCTGGAAGGCTGCATTTCCATGTGGCTCCTCCCTCCTTTGCTTCCTGTCCAAAATGCAGTGAATGCAGCTCCTTGCCAGGCCCCTGTGCCAGGCCTTCCTGCTTGGAGCCAGCTGACTGTGGACTAAAGCACGAGCCAGTTAAGCCTCCTGTTGGTTGTGGGTGTCAGATGTGGTGTCTCAGTGATGACGAAGTGACCAGGACCCTGGCCACGGTCACATGCAGAGCTCAGGGCAGCCTGTGTTTGCAGCTCCAGCCTCGCCTGGCCGCTCACTTTCCCCTGGGCCTCCCAGCCACTGTCCGCTAAGGAACCCACCCCGTTCTCACCCCTCAGTCCAGGTGCCCCTCTTTGGATGCCGCTGGAGTGCTGGCTTCTGTCCATCTCTGGCCAGCAGGGTGCAGCCCTCGTCTTGTCTGCCCCGGGGCCTCCCCTCCCGCCCTCTATCCCTGGGACTCTGGGGTACACTTGCGAGTCACTGGTCCTGACCAGCCACCAGCGGGATTCTCCAGGTCCTCTCTGAAGACCTCTCATGGGACAGCTTAGAAACCAAACCAATCAAAGAATGGACATGTGCTCTTTTCAAACATGGTGACACATGACTCTTTTGCCAAACACTGCAATTCAACAGTACATCCCTGGTTATACCTCTAGCTATGAAAATTCTTCTCAAGCTAAGAAAGGGCCAAAGGAAGGTCTTTCATGGAGGGAATCATGTCACACTTCTTCTGCCAACCTAGGAGCTCCCACAAAGAGCAGGCTGCCATTTCCAGACATACTCTGGGGCTTTCTCCTAAGTCCCAGGGGACTGAGGTGATGCCCTCACTCCAGGCTGTGCGCCTCCAAAAACTAGTGGCCCCAGGTCATCAGGCCTGGCTCTTCCCACTGCCAGAAGGAGCACAGGAGCACCTTATTCTGGAGGTAGAGGCTGCCTGACGATCTGAGGGAGGATGGGGTCCCTCTGCTGGAGCTCACCCAGATCTGTACAGGCCCAGTAGACATTATTACGTGCCGGGTTCGTATCCTACCCCACATGCCCCTTACCGAGCCTCCAGAACCTCCCAGTAGCTTCCTAAGTGTGGCCACCAAACCCTCTGAGCTTGGACAGGCCTGTGCTGTCTTTCAGCATTGCCTGCCTGTTCTGGCTACACCCTGCAGCCCCACCTCATGGCTGCTCCCTGTCTGTGTCCTCAGCCCCCAGTACGCATCCTCTGCCTCCCTCATCTCTCATGTGACCACCGTGTGTTGAAGCCACCCCCTCCCCAGGCCAAAGGGACTGTGTTTCATCTGTGTGCTGAACAAGAGTTGCTTCATTCATGTTTTTTTAGTGCTGGGCTCAAACCTGTGGTCTTGCAGGTGCTAGGCAAGTGCTCACCTGCTAGGATACCCCAGCCCCACTTGCTGCTTCTGGGGGTCCTGTGATGTCCATGTGCCAGATGCTGGTCTAGGTGCTGGGGACCTCAGGAGCCAACTCTCCAGGTTCCCTCCCATGTAGGAGACAGACCTGGAGACTCGAGCAAATCTCACAGTGTGTCCCAGGCCACTGAGGTCCGGGGATGCAGAGACCCCAGAAGGGGTAGCTGGAATGTAGGGCTGGGGGTTTGCAGTCAACTTGTCCTGCAGAGGCAGACAGATGGGGGGTAGAGCAGATTTCACCCACTGAGTTCCTGAGGTCTGTCCAGGGGAGGAGCCTCGAGGCTGGGGAAGAGAGGTGCAGGGCTGGGACGCGTGCAGGAGAGCTGAGGGGGAGCAGGGCGGGCGTGTGCTTCACCCCACAGCCAGTGGGGCTGCTGCTGATTTTATGCAGGGAATGACATGCTTATATTTCTTTCCAGGGAGATAATTCTGGCAGACGGAGTGGGGTGGTGAGAGGCTGGGCAAGTCACTTAACCTC